TCCAGCTCAAGAATAGCATCTACTGCAGGCATAGCCTCGAGGCGGACGTCGCCATCTTTCTCATCCGTCATACCGTTGAACTGCGCGCCATCGTCTACGGTAGACACACCCTGGATCAGGGTAGATGCCCGGCGTCTTGCAGCCAGCATACGGCGTCGCCGTCGCCTCTGTACAAAGGTTCTATGTCTCGGTGAGACCAGGGTGTTCACGCATTCCGCGTCTTCAGATGTCGCCCTCACTGTCCGCTCCTTTGGAGCCCCGATGTTCTCTACAACATCCGACGAAGAGCTGCTAACCCCCGCAGCCTTCGTTTAGTGGATAACGTGCCACTCCACGCGCATCTGAAGCGCCGCGCCCAAGATGCCTCGGACTCTGTCCGACCACGCCATCAATGGCATGCAGTGACTGCTTCGCAACGAGAGCAGTGCATAGTGGTTTACCCCGTGATGTAGGTGCCACTCCACAATCAGCCCGCGAGCCACGCTCAGGACTCCTGTCCGATACACCGTTGGTGTTTACCAACTCGGACATTCCAATGTCCATCACGTTGACCGTCTCGGTCCAGTGCTCTCGCCAATAGCGCTTTTGTCTCCTAGCAGAGGTGGGTTCATGACTCGGCAAAGCTCTACCAGGAAACGTGCGGGTAGCGCTCAAGGTCTTTGACCTTCAATCAATCCATGGCTCATGGTGTCTTAACCATGCTATTTCTAGGATGAGGTCATACCTTGCATTAAAGTCTAAGATTAGAGAGCGCTTCACGATATCAAAGTCAAGGAACTTGACTCTGAGGTTCACAGGGACCTTCGGGACCGTGACACGCGTCCCCGTAGCTAGGCGGACAGTTACGATGTCACCCAATTGCGCTTTCAGCGCCTCAATATACAGCTGACTTCCTTTCATCGTGGAGCGTCGAGCATAATTGTCCGACGCCCCGGAATCGATGAGAATCTTCCATGGCTTCTCGAAGCCCTTCACGGTCGCCTCTACGACCAGCAAGCCCGGCTTGCATACACGTTCAGTGTTCAAGAACACGGACATCTTCGGGGCTGGGCCCTGTTGACCAATGCCCCCTAAGGCTCAACAAAACTCAATTCTCCCCCAGTAGGTCGCCCCGCGCCTACTGAGTGTCGTTTCCCCGCGACGAACCAGACTGGTTGGAATGGGAACGATGGTTTAAAGAACCTAGACGCACCTTGCGCAGGGGGCAACCGCTCCGAAGATGACGGGTGTTTCCACAGACAAAACACCGTCGTGTGTTTGTGTGCTGCCGGCAGCTCGGAGCTCTGCCCCCTCGTCCTCAGCATAGCTGAGTTTTATGAGCACAGGCCCGCTCGACAAGCTGTTGGAGTGTGCATTCCAACCAGGTCGTGCCGACTTGAAACTG